CACACACACAAACGCGCGCACACACACACGTACATACAAACTCAGATGTGTGGACCCTTCAGCCAATCAGTCCTCTAATTAGTACCTAGTACTAATTTATATACATTTGAATATTAGCTGTGATTAATCTAGATTAATCACAGAAAACTGTGTGGCTAATTTGTGTGTTTGTGGCTGTGTCTGTATGTGTGTTTATTTGACATTGATGACGTATTTAAGAATGTATACAAGGAAAGTTATTAATGCTTTGAACCAGTAAAAACAAACATTATTAGTGGCAAATAACCACATTGTGCCAGCTCACTATTAAGAGCATAAACACTGCTTTTACAATAAACTCCTACCATAAATGGGAATCAGCTCTCACCAGTTCATTTTACGGTATTCATGTTTTCGTAAGCTCTGAGCTGCCACATTTTATATGGCTGACTCACTCTATTTGCTTTTGTACCGGTTAGCAACGGTAGTTGCTATTTTTGGCTGCTTGTCAGCCTCTTGCCAAACTAAATACTGCAGTGAAGTTTCCATTCACAGACAGAGGGCCACTATATGCCAGATCCAGTGCTGTGAGAAAAGTCTGCCCCTCTCTCTGCCAGCCAATCTGCTGAGTTTCCCTCCACTCAGTCTTTGAAAGGAGATGTTCAGTGGCTCATTTGGCCAAATTGTGGGCACCCATTTTTAATAAAATGTGTGATTTTGTGAGCGAGTTGTCAGGAAGCTAAGGCTGATAGGAAGACTTTTACAGATTGATGCAGCTTCTGATTTTCAGCAGTACATGCTTCAGATTTCATAAAACTATGAGAAAACAATAAAGGAGAGTACAGAAGATGCCAGGAGACCCTAGCTAATGTAATGGTGATGCTAATAAAGTATAAAATTAATATGAACTCTCACTATTAAAAAGACATTTTCATCTCACCTGTTGGGTTAGCTGCTGACCCAACACCAATTATATTCTGTATATGTCTTCATACATCTAGAGAAGATGGCTGTTCTAGGAGTTCTTGTCTTTCTGGGTTCACTCAAGGTTGCTTGTGACCCATAACTGTCATCACAGATGATTTTATATGATGTAAAAAAAGAACAAAAAATCAGTAGTAAAAGAAGAGGTGAACATTTTCATTACTAGAAAAACTGACTGTACTACAGAGGACTGACAAAAGAGATGTTTACAAATTTGTTCATCCAGGTAAAAACAATCACCTTACTGTGTATCAATGAAAGACGGAGGACACTTTTTATATTCCAATTTCACAGCTTTAGTTTGAACTCCATGAGGCACTTGTTAAGACTAGTTGTTAGGAATAAAAGTGCAGTCAGACTGCGAAGCCTTCCAAGACAGGGTTTACAACAGACATTGCATACATATATGTAATTATAGTATTTTACTACATGTATTACAGTTTCACTTATTTAATGGCTATTTTGCACATCCATTTTGTTATTTGCTTCTCTCCTCTTGCTCAGTCTCTCTTTCTGTTTGTCACTTGCTCGTACCACACCCAACTGCTTCCTTACAGGAAGCCTGATACTCTGACATCACAGGGAGGTTGTGAGCATAAACCAGCCACAAGAATGCAGCATGCAGGCAAGGCAGCGCGAGCTCAGACAGAAGACAGGAAAAGGAGGAGATCGAGTTGGTTAAATAGCTGAAACTTACCTTTGGTGAAGACATAGATTAGAGAGAAAGTAAGACACAGCTCAGAGGCACTATGAAAGGACTGAATGTAAGCAGATCGCAGAAAAAGGCAAAAAGTCTAACCTGAAAATCTGAAGTAGCTTCATCATGGTAAGACTCCATCCTTGAGCTTAAGCAATTGTAGTGATGCTGCAATCTCATGCTTATAATTGCTGTGTGTTGACTAGCTGGACAAAATCATGCCATAGCAAAGCTGTTACTTGGATCCAACTTTGCGTGGAGTCACTCAACTTAGTCTATGCATGATGGAAAGTGAAGCTAACTGACTGTAACAGGTTTATGCTTGAGTTATGCTGCTTGGCTAAAATATGTCAGAGCAAACCTTGAAAAAAATGCAAACCTACTGTTAGTGCTATTAGGAGATCGCTGTACTTCAGCAGTGAAATATGAAGCAGTTATACATTTCTGGTAATGGTTGTGTTGCTGTTTTTAGCATTTCAGCACTTGAGACCTCATGTGTTTCACAGCCATATTAAAAATTCACAAATAAGAAGCTTACAGAAATAAAATAATCTCACATTCTCATATCCAGGCACACAAAAGGCCAGGGAAAGCCTCAAAGCCATTTGCTAACAAATGATTATATCATGCTGCATACAAGGTAAATATTACATTAAAAATCAACAAAATGTAGTTATATAGATCAAGATCATCACTATGAGATTACTGCACACAAACTGCCATAATTTATTCAGTTTTAAAATAGTCCATCCATCCATCCATCCATCCATCTGCTCAACTCTTATCCTATTCATGCTTATCAGCTAGGCACAGTTATCTGACAAAACCTGGCATAGTAACTTCAACCCATTACAGACTAAATGATTGAAAAAGTTTATATTTGACTGATTCATAATTCATTTTTAGAAGTATTTTAAAAACAGAAGAGATTTCTGAGAACTATGGATGTCGTCCACAACAAATTTGGCAAATGAGTGGAAAATTTTTGCGCACCGACACACGGAGGATACAATAGCACTGCTGCATCCAGCTTAGCTACAAAAATAAGTATCTATGCACCAACATGATTTATCAAGCTCTCACCTAACTGTGAATGTTCTGACTACATTACTTCTCTCTCACTACAGTAAGATGCAGAAAAATAAGCTGCCTGTTCAGTAAAGGAATCATTCCAGATACAGGATTTGGTTACAGAACTGTGAAAACCTTCTGAGTCCAGATGTGCGGAAGTCTCAGTTCTAGTTATAAATTGTAGGTCATCAGGATTCATCTACAATTAAACTCGCATTCTCCAGTGTTTAGGATTATGATTGCACCTGCTTACTGCCTCACCTGAGGATGCATTAAATCACATTTCTAAGCAAGGCTGTGTAGATGAGCTGGTTAGGGATCTAAGGCCATGTCTGCAATGTTGTGAGTTCAAATCCCATGGCTGGCAGAGCATCACCCTCGGGCCCCTGAGCGAGGCCCCTGACCCCCAGCTCCAGGGTTGCTGCACGCTGGCTGATCCTATGCTGTGACCCTCAAGCTTACGAAGATCGATAAAGTATCACTATTCTCTTATATATAGCCCCAATTGCTAAAGGGATTTTATCTGAAAATGTTCTCTGATCCTAAGTGTTGCTACAGTGCAGACTGTCCCTGAGTTACAACCTATGTGACACATGACAAATCAAACGTATGACCAGCATTTAAAAAAAAGGAAATCTATGTAAAATTAATTTTGAGAGGCCATATGCTACACTAGCCAGTGCCTGCTGAGTACTGCTCAATAGCTGCCACAGGACACACCTGCACTGTATGGAAGTGCTATGTGAGTCAGTGCCTGCTGAGCATTCTTCAATAATTGCCATAGGACAGAATTGCACTGTATGGCAGTAATACACTAGCCAGTACCTACTGAGCACTGTTCAATAGCTGCCGCAGGACAGAACTGCACACTATGGCAGCGCTACTATCATAATTTATTTGTTACGTATCATTAAACATGTTTTCAAGACGTTGTAAATATTTACCATATGGAATGAAAGGGGTTGGGATAATCTTAAAATGATCGAAGCTTTTGTTATAGCTTAACATACTGGTCCCTGTGAGTCATTTTAGCATCACCAGAGTTATGTTCTTTGTCTGATAACCTTAAAATCTTACACCTTAAACAACCTCTGCTGTCAACTAACTGCAATTTCCTGTGGTCGTAATACAGGAAGCACAAAGCAGGAAGTGAATCTTGTGAATGTTGTTTCACACTTGGGTTATGCAAACAATGCTACATGCCCTTCACTTATTCGGTGCTGGACACCATGAAGACAGTCAAGCAAGTCAAAGCAATAGTCACCGGATGTTTTTTCTCTTTGTTTTTTACTCCAACTTATTTTCTTTAGAGGCTTTGTTTTTAAATCCAGTAAAGTCATTTGTTCTGTGAGTTTTCTGAAAATGGAACACAAGCTACCGTGCCTTTATCAGAAAAAGATTTTCTGTATCTCTGTAAATCCCCTACATCTTCTATGATGGGAAATCACGTGATCAGACAGTGGTTATGATGCTTGTGCACCTGCTTGAATACCTTGGATCATTAGTCTAATAGTTACATATATGTTTTTAATCTATGGCCCCTTAACTAGTTAGTCTGATATAGGAGCTCTGAGCTTTTTCTCCATTTTATAAGCAAGCAGAAAGACTTAATACACATATAACGATGAATGGTTTTATAAACTACACTAATGAAGAAAAAGGTCAGATCTAAAACTTTGTGATATTTTTTCTTCTCCTTCACAGCTATGATTTATTGGAGATTTTCCAAGATCTACATCAGACGGCAGATTGGAAGTAGTTTGGAGAGATGATCATTTCACAGAGCAGTCATTGATGAAAAGTGTGTGTCAAAATTTCAAAGTAAAGCCAACCATAAACAAAGCGCTGGTCTTAAAAACTTTGGAAGTTAAAAACAAGGAGTACTATCAATTTCCTGGCTGAACTACAACTGCTCTACATACTGTATGATTTTGCCACCTAATAGGAGCAACAATGCAACAAAACATGCAAGTTGAATAAAAAACAGGGCCACCAAAAGACACAGGGGTGACTGCTGTATCTTCAGATCGATAACAGTTTTCTCAGAATGTCCTTATTTTAAAGTACTTTGCTTTGAGCCGACGATATACACTCCACATTCTGCTTAGAGGAATTGCAGTACATGCAGAGAGAGATTATACCTGCAGGGACAGACCAAAACCCAGACATTAACACAAAGTCATGAGTGAGACTATTCTTCAGTTTCTCACAGGCTTTTGGAACATCACCGCCATCAAGCATGACCAAGGCGTCTACAACACTGTGTGCCTTGCCATTCTTCTTTCACTGCCAGCGCTGGTCCTTCTCACCTCGCTGGTGATCTGCTGTCATTGCTGTTGCTGTCAAAAGGACAAAGCTGGCAGATGCTGCCAATCCAGGAACCACACAGGCATCTCCAAAGCTGATGCAAAGAAGAAGAAGAAGACCACCAAGGATGAAGACCTTTGGATCTCAGTGAAGACTGAACCAATGGCTTCTGAAAGAATGACACTCACAGTGGTTTAATGGGCACGCACACAGACACCTGCTCGCACATACACACACACACACACAGTTCACACATTTAAAATCCATGTAAACAGAGTGGAAGTGAATGGGCATAATTTTAGAAAAATACCTTTGGTGAAGACATAGATTAGAGAGAAAGTAAGACACAGCTCAGAGGCACTATGAAAGGACTGAATGTAAGCAGATCGCAGAAAAAATGAGTGTACGTATGTAATCCTTTTTAACAATCTGACACTCATTTTTGTGTGTATGGAATTGGGTACCTAAAATGGTACCATCACTGACTGACTGATTCACATGGATTCCTGAGAGAATGATTATCTACTAGTATATTAAAAGGGCAGATTCTGTACTTGACTGACATTAAAATGAATGTTTATGTTTGTAGTAGTAAGGTGGAAATTAAGCAATGCAAAATATTTCTTTGCTATACTCAGTTTTTACTTTCTCATCAATATTAATGCAAAAAGTAAAATATACTCTTTGTCTGCTTCTTTCTGTTATATTTAATATTTGATTGACACAATGTTATAAAAGGAATATTCTGGATCTTTTTCATGTACTGATTTTTATCAGCTTGGCATTCCTCTCAAATGCAACCCAGAATAGTTTCCTGTATTGTGAGCTGTCCATTCTACAGCTGATTGATGGAGGACATGTGTTCCACAAACCAAAGAGCCTGAACCCATTCACATCAGCACATGACTGTAGTGCAGTTTGACTTTTTGTTCCATTACTGACTGTGCTTTCACAAATACAACATGCTAAACATGCCATTGGATATTCATCCGTCCATCCATCAATCCATCCATCCATCCATCCTCTACCACTTTTCTGGGTCGGGTTGCGGGGGCAGCAGTCTAAGCATGGAAACCCAGACTTCCCTCTCCCCGGCCACTTCGTCCAGCTCCTCCAGGGGAATCCCGGGGCGTTCCCCGGCCAGCCGAGAGACATAATCTCTCCAGCGTGTCCTGGGTCTTCCCCGGGGCCTCCTCCCAGTGGGACATGCCCGGAACACCTCACCAGGGAGCCGTCCAGGAGGCATCCTGACCAGATGCTCAAGCCACCTCATCTGGCTTCTCTCGATGCGGAGCAGCAGTGGCTCTACTCTGAGTCCCTCCTGAATGACCGAGCTCCTCACCCTATCTCTAAGGGAGAGCCCAGCCACCCTGCGGAGGAAACCAATTTTGGCCGTTTGTATTCACCATTGGATATTGCCCTCACAAATTCCAGGGAAGTACCATGTCTTTTAGTCAGAATTATCAGTATTTAGTCATTGCAAAATTTTCTGTCCTATTCAATGGATTCGGTCTGTATAAAAAATGTTCCTCTTTTAATTTATGTATGTCTGTACAGAGAAATTGCACAACTGGTCTGATGCCATGATGAGTTTTATTTATGAGTGTAAGCAGCTCGATTGCTATAAGGCACCCATCATTTTAGAACGCGATCACTGATATCTCATACAATTCAGTTAATTATTCATTAATACAGTCAGCAACTCATCACTGCAGTTCAGGAAAGTGTAACTGCAGTTAATGACTCATCACTGCAGATAATGCTTTGTTTGTTCTGTTGTCACTGCAGTTAATGATTACATATAATAACTCATCTCAGATATGTACAGTGACTGATTAAGACTGTAGAGTGTAGCCCAGGCATGCATGTAAGGCCATTTAACAATGACTGAATAGTCCAACTGATATGAAAAAAGAGGAGCTTTTCACATGGTACATGGACAATGCTAATGTGTGTGTGTGTGTAATAATAATTGTAATGAGGCCAATATATACCATATATATATATATATATGTACATAATTATGATTGTTGATTTTAATTAAATATAATGTACATAAAAAAAAATTAAGGATGGTCTTTGAAATTGTCTCAATTTGTATGTATGAATTTGGCCATCTGTCGTGGAAGGAATCTGTTACCTTAAAAGTGACCACACTGAAGAGGGCCAGTGAAAATGAGAGTGATTGTGGAATGATCTGTTTCCTTAAGAGTGACCACCCTGAAGAGGGCCAGTGGAAATGAGAGTGATTGTGGAAGGATCTGTTTCCTTAAGAGTGACCACCCTGAAGAGGGCCAGTGGAAATTAAAGTGATTGTGGAAGGATCTGTTTCCTTAAGAGTGACCACCCTGAAGAGGGCCAATGGAAGTGAGAGTGATTGTGATGTGTCACTGTTCGAGCAGGTCGTTCGTCAAATTTTAACAAAAACACTTTTTGTAGTGGGATAGTTATGTAACAGGACTTCACAGAACTTCATCTGCCTGTACCACACTTCGAAGGATATTTATACTGGTCCACTTTACTATTTTTCATCTAACACTAGAATTTTTTTCCTTTAATCATGTTATGCATGGAACTCAATCTCAGTGGCATTCAGGGAGACAAGGCAGCTTTTCTTGGGTCCTAGTTTATACCCTAACTGAGGATAGGGGTTTGATGGCTACATCTCTAACAGCTCTGGGGAGCATTCATCACACTACGGTCATTAGAAGGGCCCACTGCATCATGGAAGACAGTCCCCACCCCTGTCAGAGCTGCATCACACTCCTACCATCAGGAAGATGCAGGAAGAGTATGAAATCAAGACTTCAGAACAGTTTCCACCCACAGGTCATTAGGTCAAGCCACCACCCAGCTGTATTTCCAATGAGATGTGCTGCCATCTATAGGTGAACTTTGGCAGTATGCCTCCAAGCCTCCAAAAGTCTGATTATATTACATTTCTCCTCACCTCATGCTGCCATTCAAGCAAAGTCACTCAGGTATACTGCAGCAAAGTGCTTCCTGAGACTCTAATATGAAAAGCATTTTAAATAAATTATATGAAAGTCCTTATAGGTAAATGCTAATTGATACATTTTTACAATTTTTTGGCAACCAGGGACTTCTATTGTTGTACGTTCCAGTTTTTTTTTTATATTGGTGTTATATTGGTATTGATTTCCATATATTACAATCAGGACATACACATTTTTGGAAACTTATGGAATAATGCCGTTAATAAGTATTAAAATTTCATTAAAACACGACAACCCTTTTTCTGTATAAGTGTGTATCTTTATTATGATAGCTGAATGAATATTACATATTATAATGCAAAAATATAAATATTGAACCACTTCCTCTCACAATTTTGAAGGAAAAGAACCACAATTGTAAAATACGGAGGCTGAGAAGATAGCGAGCTCGCGCTCGTATCTTCTGCGCAGAGATTGGTGTGCGGAGTTCGGTATGAGAAAGTCCCAGCATAACAATGCAGATGGATAGATAGCACGAAAACCTCTATAAAACTTTTTTCAATTTTGCCGTTAACTGTCCCTTTAAAAGCATTAAATTAGAGGATTCAAATTTCTTAAAATGTGAATTGAAAACATTATACATTTGTTTATGATTATATTTATTGAAAACATTTCAGCATCATAATTTTCAGTTTTTTTAAGTAAATCTCAATTCAAATTAACAATACAATGAACTTATTCGTAAACTATGACTAGCTTATCTGTAATTATATACACGTACTTGTAAAAACGTCATTTGAAAAATAAAAAAACGCTTGAACGTGCCTTTCTATATAAAAGGGTCATTCCCACATTTAAATCAGTGTTAAAGAATTTTGATTTTGAAAGTCCGTAGTGTGTTGTGTGGAAATTCGATTTCCTCCCTTTTGTCTGATAATATTTTAATAAAATTTTATGAAAATCCAATTAAAATTAAATGTCCGATGAAGCGGGGAAAGCATGTTTTTTAAAATAAATGGTTTTGCATGGTGTGCGTGTAATATTAAATGGAGGCATTTTGTTGTAAATAAAGTTGGCTTTGAATATTGTTGGATCTGCACTATAATGTGAGAGCATGATTGTTTTAAATAAAGTTTAGTTTGAATGTTGAGTGTTGATAATCATGGCGTCTGCTGTTCTAAAAAAGGTTGTTAATCTAGGGTCAGGGGTTTTATTGTCTTCATTTTGCGTATCACTTTCGGTAAGGGTGCATACTATTCTATATTCTACTTTGTCTTTTTTAGATTTAACAGTAATGGTATAATTAAGCTAAGATGATCAGGACCAGCGACAATGTGTAAACGTCATTGAATTGTATCTAACTTAGCTTTTCTAGTTTTATCCATTATCCGCCTGCTATATTCAAGTTTTCACAGCGATTGTAGTTAAATATTTTCTTACAATTAATGGAATCCGATTAATGCACATTCTGAATGTTCGTGATGATAGTTTTCGCATTGCGGATTGTATGAAAGGTGTGTTTTTTGTGGTACAGAATTAGGATAATTAAATCTAAGATGGAGGGGGGGTACTGTTTATATCTTTAAACCTAAATGCAACGATTTGTGAAAATATAAACTTGTCTAGGCGTTTAGGAGCCCAGTGTGTGCTGTGGAGCAGGTCAGAGGTTATTATGTAAATTGGAAAATGCTGCGGGATGTGAAGAGGAGAAAAATGGCCTTCGAGTATGCAGACGAACGGCTGCGCATCAATGCGCTAAGAAAAAACACCATCCTCCCCAAAGAGCTGCAGGTATGGGTCTTTTCAGCTGACTGGCGCTTCAATGTACATATTTCCCTAGACAGTCTCTGAGTTGTCTTGGAAGAGTAACACATCTTTATAAGTGTGTGTTTTCTGTTCTTATACCCACACATTCAAACCAACTGTGTTGCATCTAGCTGATTCTTTGATTTGCATGTAGGAAGTGGCAGATAAAGAGATTGCTGACCTGCCAAGGGACAGCTGTCCAGTGCGCATCCGCAATCGCTGTGTGATGACATCACGGCCCCGCGGTGTGAAGAAGAAATGGCGCCTCAGCCGCATTGTTTTCCGTCACCTCAGTGACCATAACCAGATGTCTGGGATCCAGCGTGCAATGTGGTGACTTCTTTCCTTTGTAAAGAGACAGTGGACAAATCTGGGCTCTCAGGCCTCATTACAAGCAAAATTAATGTTTCACCCACATTTGTGTTAATGTAATAAAAGAATGTATTGTTTGTTTATTATTTTTAAATTTACTTAAATGTATGCAGGTGTGATATATAGTATTTAGGGCACTTTTCCACCGCACTCCACATTGAGAAAGTACCAAAAGTAGGGTAAAAGTATTTGGGTTCCACTGGTGTAAAAACTGGTACCGGTGCCAAATGACATCACAAAGGCAGTATTTTTTACTGAAATCGAAAAATGGATGTTTTTTATAGGGCTGGATAATATAATGTGATATTAATGCAATATTAATGCCAACATCGAATGTTATGTGAATGTGATTGACATAGCTTGCTACACTTGGAGACACCATGAGATTAGATAATTAATAATTAGACATAATGTGGGCAAAATAAAAACACAACAGAGAGGTGTAAACACAAGGTAGGTGATGAAAATAGAAGTTTGTGAAAGTTTAAATAGTGCAATGCTGCAAGGTGACACAAGTACAACACAGACAACATACACTCACCTAAAGGATTATTAGGAACACCTGTTCAATTTCTCATTAATGCAATTATCTAATCAACCAATCACATGGCAGTTGCTTCAATGCATTTAGGGGTGTGGTCCTGGTCAAGACAATCTCCTGAACTCCAAACTGTCAGAATGGGAAAGAAAGGTGATTTAAGCAATTTTGAGCGTGGCATGGTTGTTGGTGCCAGACGGGCCGGTCTGAGTATTTCACAATCTGCTCAGTTACTGGGATTTTCACGCACAACCATTTCTAGGGTTTACAAAGAATGGTGTGCAATGGGAAAAACATCCAGTATGCGGCAGTCCTGTGGGCGAAAATGCCTTGTTGATGCTAGAGGTCAGAGGTGTTACGTGCCGCTGTTTTTACTCCGTCTCCACATCCGAACTCCGCCCACGACCATGCCCACGACCTGGCCTGGCTCCACCCCTACCTCCGGACCCCGCCTTCGTTTCCGGCCCTGCCCGACCTCGTCACGTCCGTCCGGAGAGGGATAAAAGCCGGACAGAGAGACACTTCGAGAGCTTAGCTCGTTTCTTGATTATTGTGGTTTGCTTTCTTTGGTTTTGATTACTTGTGTATGACTTTTGATTTCCTTGACTAACGATTCTTTGCCTTACCCCTTTCTGTACTTTCGCCCGGTCTGCTTGATTTTCTGGTTA